CAGGTTACTTCTCTTTGGTCCAAATTAGGTCCCTGACTACAGATATGCAAAGAAGGGTCGAGCGCCGGAAAAATTGGGGAGCACCAGTTGCGTCGGTGATTATCTCACGTTGCTGGAGGACGTGGACGGAAAGATCATCGAGATCTCCAAGTTCTGCGGAGAGGGTCACGTACCACGGATCCTTTCGAGAGGAAAAAATATTATCGTCGAGTTCTTTACGGAGCAGGACGGCACCGTGATGCACGACGGGTTCCAGTTGTCGTTTCAGGAAACGGAGGAGCCGTCCGGCGTGAAGCACGATCGAAATTGCGAGTTCGTTTACAAAAGCACGGAACGTACCAGGGAAAATATCAAGTCGTTGCAAAGCTGGTATCCGCCGAACACTTTGTGCAGTTACAAATTCATGGGCAGATCGTCGGAGAAGATCTCCGTTCATATGAAGATAATCAGGAACGAGCCGGACCAGGAATACACGCCACAGAAACGAAACTTCAGTCTGAACTACTGCTCCGGAAACGAGATTGCGGTTTACAATGGGATCGAGGTGGGTAACCATCGAGCCGATGTAAAAAATTAACGGGTTGTGTGGCAAACCTAGTAGCTTCTCAATGTTTTATTTCGTTGCTTGAAATTTTCTTCTTAACTGACTTTCGTTCTTGGAAGGATGAATAAATTATCCTTCCCGTGGATACGGGTTTTAATTGATTGTTGCACGAAAGTTTTCGTATATATTTTCAGTCGAAATTCAATATTTATCACACCCTTGAAGTTATTAACATCAATCTCACAATATAACTTCGTGTTAAACTGTTGTCTTATTATTACTTTACTTTTTCTGTTACTTTTTTATGTGAATATTTTATCAAATTTCCTTTGAATTTTATAATGCATACCTATTCTTTAAAATATAACATAAGAATATTCTCCTTGTCCTTTCGTTCCAGATACATTCCTCTTTCATTCCACGGAGAAGTTTCTCCACCCTGCGATTCCTGTTATGCTAATTACAAATCGAATTTCTCCTCATCGTAATAAAATAAAGGCGAAAAATAATATTTAATTTCCAGGTGAACAACAGCGTCTTGATGTGGTCCTACTGCGACGTATCCCACCAGGACATTAATAACATACAAGTTCCTCTCACCTCCAGCGGAAATGAATTATTAATACAATATTATAGCGCGAAAGGCTCGTACGACGGTCAAGAATTCACTTACACGATATCCTACAGGTTCATAAAGAAATCGCAGAACTCCACCACCAGACGCCAGGTCCAGGACGATTTCAAGCTAATCTCTCTCAGGCCGGTGAACTTTTCAGCGTTGAATTTCAACGAGAGCGAGAACTGCAACTGCGATTTCGGCGATAGGATAGGCAGCTTCAAAAACTGGTTTATGGTACTAGTTGTCCTAGGAATAGTCTCGTTTCTCGGCGCTGTTCTCACGATAATAGCGCTCCTTGCCAAATGCATCAAGATGCGATCGATGGAGAAGAAACTATTACAAACCCCGAAACTATGAACTCGATCAAACTTTGTACGATTTTCTACCTGTTTGAATAAAACGATTTTCTACAAGCGACTAGATTTAGGTTTGTACATATGCTCATTTGATCCAAATTTAGATGCCTGTTAAATTTATTTATGATTACTGATTAATGAGAGAGTCGAAAGGTTTTATTCTTCGAATCAAAGAATCGCAGAGCGGATATTGCGTTCATTTGTACTTTCATCATTGAGAGAAATTACGCCGAAAAAGTATGATCTTATTTCACGTTCTATAAATATTTATTAAATCTAATTGCGCAACTAAGAATAAATTGTATGTCGTCAAAACAAACGAGTATCTTATTCAAGATCAAAAAATGTATCATGCGAAAGCTCAAGGTCTCACCGAGATTTGAACTCGGATCGCTGGATTCAGAGTCCAGAGTGCTAGCCGTTACACCATGAGACCTTGAGAATTTTTTCACAGAAATCAGGATAGTGTGCGTGTATAAACAAACGCAAACACTTTCGTGCACTTTCACAAAATTTCAAGTGAATTAAACATCAAAGAAAATAAATGACGTAATTACTATGTTCGATGCAATGATCCATCAGGTTGCGAATATGTAAATACGAGAGATCACCCATTAGTACATATCTAGTTAAAAAAATCAAATCACTGATGTGAAAAAGAGAGAAAGAGAGCGAGAGTGCGATGGAAAAAAGTATATATGCGATAAAAATTAACGTAACGTACTACTTATTAGAAAATATAAGGAAATATCATTGCTTGAGGAGACAGCTTTAAGAAATTTTTTTTTTTTT